CCCCCCCCGCCACGCTGGTGCCCGGGGTGGCATCCGCTGTGGGTGCAGCACCCGGCTGGCTGGGTTCTCTCAGCTGCCATCTCCGGCCTCACGGAGGCAGCAAAATGTACCTCCCGAGCAGCCCCGGCGCTAACCACGCGGCAGGTACCCTGCAAGGGGGCTGCCTTACCTTGCCCGTGGTTAGAAACACCAGGGAGATGTCCCAGAGCTTTGAGATTAGAAGGAGGCAAATGGCGAGAGCAGCAGGGGTTCCTGGTGCTGGCTTACGGGTGGTCGGGTGCCACTTGCTGCCAGGTACTCAGAGCCGCTTCTTGCCTAGGAGCAGTCGTCGGTGCTTCGGTAGCAACTGCAAACCAGCGGTGAACCAGGCGTGGGGTTGGCTGGGCCCTGCGGTGTCCGGGCTCCAAGGGCTGCTGTGCCTGAACAAGCTCAGGAGGAGGGAGGCAGGGGCCATGTCCCCAGCCCCCAGGCGCGTTGCCCACCGCCCGCACTCCTCACAGGCTCTCCAGCCAGCAGCCGGGCCCCGGCTGCCTCCTCTTGGACATGGCTACGTGGTTCAGCTCTGGCTGCCCTCGTGCCCACCTGGGCAGAGCCTGCGGGCCAGGGGACCAAGACAGCAAGGTGACGGAGCACCAGCTTCCCCCTCACCTAGGGCCAGGGGACCACGACAGCGAGGTGATGGAGCACCAGCTTCCCCTCATCTAGGGCCAGGGGACCAAGACAGCAAGGTGACAGAGCACCAGCTTCCCCTCATCTAGGGCCAGGGGACCACAACAGTGAGGTGATGAAGCACCAGCTTCCCCTCATCTAGTGCAGCGCGAGCATCCCTGCCAGAGCAGACCTGGCCCGAGGCGTGAGCGCGGGCAGGGCGTTAGGGGAAGGCCACACACGGGGACAGCGCATCACACGTGAGGACAGCGCGTCACATGTGAGGTCACAGACCTGCAGCGCACCCGGCTTCACCTGCCCCGTCAGCCACGGGGACGCAGCGCCAAGCTGGGCCGGGTGTGCCTGCTGTGCTGTCCGCTGGGTGTCTGTGGTAGCAGAGGTGTTTTGGGGCAGGGAGGAACATTCCCCTGCTTCCCAGGGTACAGCCAGCCTGGGCAGCGCATTGTAAACCACGCTCCAAGCAAAGGCAAAAAGGTAGCTTCCCTGGAAAAGGTTTGAAAAATAATCAAGCAGAGGCAGAGCCCCGTGTTTATTTTGCTGCTCTGACTGACACAGCAAAAAGCAAACAGACTGAAGGAGAAATGAAACCCCAATGGGCAGGGGGGGTGGAATGGGATGGAAAGCCATTCAGCCCTTTGCAGCATCCCAAAGGGAAAGGCGAGGGAGCGGCCTTGCACCCCCTTAACTCTTTGCTGGTAACACGGTTCCCCACTCCCCCCACATAGCTAGGTAGGTAGGTAGAGCTAGGACTTTTATACTACTGATTTTGAAGGACAGTTTTCATTGTATAATAATATATCAGTTTAGGTGTGCAGTGTTTGAAAGAGAGACTGGGAGAAAGAAAGAAAACAAACCTCAATCAATATATTGGTTTTCTGTTGTAAAATATTGTAACCTTGTATAAACGCAAACTTTTTTTTTTCTTTAGCTTAACGGCCTGGGGTAGAACATATTAAAAAAAAATAAAAAAGTTTTTAAAAAGTTCAGGAAAAAAATTTTAAAAAACCATTAAAAATGTTGCCATGTGAGGTTTGTGCCATGCAATGTTATTGCCTATGCAGCCATGTATTACCAGTTCATTACAGTGGAATATTAAAAAAGAAGAAACAGTCTTGCAGCTTGGTTCTTTTTACCTTTTTTTTTTGAAGTTATTGCCCTTCCAGCTTTTTTGTTTTCTTTTTTTTTTTTGGGTGTAGGGGGGTGAGGGGGTGCTAGGGACTGGCATTTCTGGGTGCTGGTTTTTATTTT